AAGTGCACATCGTTGTGGCGCGATGTACATTTGGAAGTCAAAATGCTAAAAACACTAGGGGTTCGGACCATATTTAGAAGTTCAGATCTCGAAAAAGTGCACGCCGTTGTAACGCGAAAGACATTTGGAAGTAAATAGAGGTTCAAATGTCGCTTTGCTTCATTCACTACAGTAAATTACACTACGCTACACTACATTACACTATACTACACTACATTCCGCAACACTCCACTACACCACACTACATTACACTACACTACATTACACTGAATGACACTGCACCACAGATAGACAGGTAGACAAATAGATAGATAGATAGACAGATAGACAGGTAGACAGCTAGACAGATAGACAGATGAAAGGAAGAGATAGATAAATAGATAGATAGATAGACAGACAGATAGCTAGGTAGATAGATAGGTAATTAGATGAAAGAGAGAGAGAGAGTGAAAGAGATCAATCACCTTTCAGTCCATCAGTGGCTTCGCTCTGCCATCGGTAATTAACAACAACCAACCTCTCCTATAGGTTTCCTATTTTTGAAACTTCCGCCTTGTGCGGTACTACTGGTAAGTGGTTTGTGCAAGCTTTATAATACAAAATAGTATTGGGAAGTGTTTTGTGCAAATTTTGTAGCACCAAGTAGTATTGGGAATATGTTATGTATAAGTTCTGTAGTACAAAGTAGTATTGGGACGTGCTTTGTGCAAATTTTGTGGTAGAAAATAGTGTTGGGAAGTCCTTTCTACAAGCTTTGTAGTACAAAGTGTTACTGGAAAGTAGTTTGTGCAAGCTTTGTAGTACAAAATAGTATTGGGAAATCTTTTCGTACAGGCTTTGTAGTACAAAGTAGTACTGGAACGTGCTTTGTGCAAGCTTTGTAGTACAAAGTAGTATTGGGAAATCTTTTGTACAGGCTTTGTAGTACAAAATAATATTGGGAAGTGGTTTGTGCAAGCTTTGTAGTACAAAGTAGTATTGGGAAGTGTTTTGTGCAAGAATTGTAGTACAAAGTAGTACTGGGACGTACTTTGTACAAATTTTGTAGTAAAAAATAGGGAAATATTTTGTACAAGCTTTATAATACAAAATAATATTGGGAAGTGGTTTGTGTAAGCTTTGTAGTACAAAGTAGTATTGGGAAGTGTTTTGTGCAAGCTTTGTAGTACAAAGTAGTATTGGGACGTACTTTGTGCAAATTTTGTAGTACAAAGTAGTACTAGGACGTGCTTTGTGCAAGTCTTATAATACAATGTAATATTGGGAAGGGTTTTGTACAAGCTTTGTAGTACAAAATAATATTGGGAAATATTTTGTGCAAATTTTATAATATAAAATAATATTGGGACGTGCTTTGCCGCCGGCCAGACATATGCGCAGAGAGCTCGCGCTGCGGGAAAGAATCACACCCTGGGACAGCCGTCTTCGTGGGTATGGGCTGCTTTGACCCAAGCCGCCTTGAAAGACGAAGCCCTGTCTGAGGAGAAGCGTGCCATGGTGAAGCAACATTGTGATTCTGTCACCGATCCGGCTGTGCTGAGCGATCAGGTCCTCTACTGTCGAGTGTCCAAAGTATATGACCAGACCAAGGTTCGTTTCCAGATCTCGGTCGCTCCAGGTGCTCTGAGTGATGTGCTGACTGTCTTGCAGGATGGCATGGAAAAAAGTGGAGGTTTGCGCAAAGATGGCCCAGCTCCTCGTGGTGCACTTGAAAGACAGATTCAAGAGATTATAGGTGAACCCGGCGTTGAGTGATGACCACCACCTTTTGAGCGGGCAGTGAGGCAATTTGATTTTCCATACTTTTGTGCTCGGGTGCTGCTGGGCATCCTTGCTTTTCAGTTCTTGATTTTCCGATCTCACTCTAGGTGCAGTGTTCTTGTGCCGAATCCGATTAACACTATGTCGGGTGCGCTGGATCCCCAGGCACGGTGTGAAGCACCCTGTCTGGCGCTCCGTTGGCGCCAGCGCGGCCAGGTGGATCACGGCCGACTGAGGTCTTGTTCCATTGTAAGTGCCTGCATGTGCCTCGCCGTGGAGCTAGGTTTCACTCAGGTGCGGCAGAGATGGAGCTCCGAAGGCGCAGTGAAGTGAAGTGAATTTTTGTAGTATAAAATAATACTGGGAAGTGCTTTGTGCAAGCTTTGTAGTACAAAATATTTCGGAAAGGCTTTTATATGTAAATACATCTGTGTGTCAAGAATCTGTGTGCAAAAATTTTCTGTGCCCAATCGTTTTTTTTGTGCAAGAAATTTCTCTCTGATAGAAAGAGCTTTTCTGAAATTTCTCTGTGCAGAACAGCTAAGATAAATTGAGACGAGCTTCAAGGAGATGAGAAAGGTTGATCAGTGCTCGGATGAGGTGAACATAGTTGAGAAAATTTTATTTAGATGACAAGTGAGAAGAAATGGGATGAGATAAAAAGAGCTGAGAGCTGAGATGAGATCAGAAGAGCTCAAATGATTTGAGATGAGATGAAGTGTCGAGTGCGAAATGCAAGTGTGAAGTGTGAAGGGTATAATATGAAGTATGAGGAAAGTGTTTGTTTGCCGTTGCATTGCGCCGGGGTCGTGCGCAGGTCATACACTTCCACAATATCTGTGCAAAATATCTTCGTACAAAGCACGCACGCACGGGCTTGGCTGGCGCACGGCGCATGCAAATTCTATAGATAAGAAAGGTTTTATATATCCCTAAGATAATTTCCTAAAATATTATAAAGCATTCTGAGGGAATATATAGAATTATGCGGCATCACAAAATGCTGTGAAGGATTATCAGGATTTCTAAAAGAATAATATGATATATAATATATATAATAATTTCTAAATTACACCACTGTAGACCCCAAACAGTGGGTGGCAACAAGACATGTTTTTGAGGAAGAGGGTCAAATACATACCATGAGAAAACATTAAGAACCCTCAATCACACACTCTTTGGGAAAAAATGCAAAATGAAACCACCCGCCATAAAGGGAAACAAGAAGAGAGACAAATTGGGAGATAAGATAAGAGACAAGACCTCGGGCAGGCGAACACACCGTCCAACACCAAGGCAGACACCTTAAGAAAACATTAAGAACCCCTATTAATTCACTATTTGAAAAAAAAATGCAAAATCAAACCACCCACCACAAAGGGAAACAAGAAGACAGACAAATTGGGAGACAAATTGGGAGACATGTTGGGAGACAAGAAGGAAGACCAGCTGAGAGACAAGCTGGGAAACAAGGGAGACAAAACCGCGGGAAGGCGGAC